ATGTATTAATTGTTTATGGTTAATGGCATGTGTGCAATTAGTTGATGATACTAATTAACCTGGGCCCATAAAAATCAACAGAGAGCTCAAGCTAGACCACTACTTTAATTTCTTTATTTTTCCAGTGACCTACATATAATTAGTGTTCACTTGGAAAAGTTTTGGTACAACTGCAATGACATTTTTCAAAAAATCAATAATTTGTAGTAATTATACGCATTGAATAGAAATAAATTCTTGAAAGACCACTCAGCTTCCACAACGCTGTTTGTCCTTAAACGAGCTCACTCATTCAGCTCTATAGAGCCTGTTCCAGGACAGGAGTTAGTTTGGTATTCAACAGTGCAAGCCACCAACAGAACAACTGACCTTGGACAGGCCAATGGTTAATTCATAAAAAACTAAGTTCCAGCTTTCGAGTGTGCGGGTAATTTAGTAATTATCAACTGAGTTGATAACATAAATTGGTCACCAGAGTTTAAAAGTTGACATTTCAAGTGTCAGCCCTTCATCAGAGTGACTGGAGACATTACGGGTTGTGTGTGTGTTTATATGCGGAAAAAGGAGCTAAGCTATTGGTGGGAATATGGTGACAGGAAAACAATAATAAATTAGATGAATGAAAAGCACTTGTTGATACTGTGGGGATTAAGTGTGCCAATTTGGAAGATAAACTTTTGCTCTGAGTTTTGCAGCTTCCAGAACTGCCTAGATGTAGGGAAAAGCCCCAAACTGCCATATCCTGCTAAGAATGGTTAGGGAGATTGAAGTGTCTTGTGAATAGTTTGGATGCATCCTTGTCATTTCTATGTCACAAAGGTGTTCTCAGAATCGGTCACCAAGTTGTCTTCCTGTTTCACCAATGTAAAACTTTTTGCAATAAACACAAGTTATACAGTAAATGACACTGGCCGAGGAGCATCTGAAATGAACAGTGATCTTGATGGACCTCTGAGGTTCCGGCATTTTCTCTAGATTGTGAATGAAAGTATTCACTAAAAAATTGGTGTTCAATAAAACCTACAAATAGATTGGCGTAACTGGATCCCATTTTGGTCCCCATGGCTACGCCATTAGTTTGTTTAAAGTAGTTGCCACCAAATGAAGAGCAATTGATGATTAGGACTAGTTCGGCTGGACGGAGTAATATTTCAGAGCCAGGTTCCTAAACAGAGCGTTGATCAAAAAAAAGTTTAAGGGCCCCGAAATCTTCGTCATTGGGAATGACAGTATGAAGAGATGTACTACCACAGTGAAAAGAAGTTTGTTTTGGTCAGAAAGGTTGCGAAAAATTTCAAGTGCGTGTTGGCTGTCCTTAATGTATGATGGTAAGGTTTTGACGTTAGGTGCCATAATTTTGTCTAAATAGCTGGAAATAAGCTCGGTGGGACAACTACAGGCAGAGAATATGGGTCGACCTGGGTTGTTAGGTTTGTGAATTTCAGGTAAAAAGTAAATACAGGGAGTTCTAGGAGTTGTGATGGTGAGAATTTTTGCAGTGGCCGGCAATTCTTGTCTAGCTATAAGATCGTTAGTCGTGTTTTTGACGCTCTTTGGTTGATGAAAGTGAGATCTTTGTCAACTTTGGCATTATAAGAGCGTCAGAAAGTTGCCGTAAAACCTCTTTTTGGTAGAGGTCCGCCCGCCAATCACGACTGTACCGCCTTTCTCGGCCGCTTTTCGAATATTTGTTTTGATTAAATATTGGATTTGAATACTGTTTTCATTGAATATTGGATTTGCTGAGACAAAAGGGAACGCCTCTTCCATTGAAAATCAAGTTAAAGTACATTGACCAACAGATTTAAAATTACTCAACACAGGCTCGACTGATAATTCATTTAAGTTGTGGAACAGCTTACATTGTAGCTACACAACGCAAAGAATCTATTGTGATCCATGATACTAAATCAAAACAGCGACAGAAATAATGCCACGCACAACTAACCTCCAGCCACAAATGTAAGGAGTACATGGTCAGCCTTCGCCTCCATTTTCCTCTCAGAAAAACCCCAAAGTAAAACATGGACCAAGCCTAACAGAGATGATTTCGGCTGGGGTGATCAGTCCACGCCAAAAGTAAGGGAAATTCTACGTTTGTGTGTAACTTTATTTCCCGTTCTTCACTCCGGAATATATGTGCGTTCCACACTTGTAAACGAGATCCACTATCTGGGCTCTAATGCTATATTGTCGGTTATGTACAAAATCCACTATCTGAACACACTAGCACTTTGTTGTCGGATGTGTCATTGCTCCAAAGGCTCGACACGCACTTACTCTTCTGACGCTGAATCTACCTGCATTGTCGCACGACCAGTAACATCGTTATGAATCCATATCATGTTTAACACGTGAAAACAACAGGGGGCGGTTAAAATGTTTTGGCATTTTCGTCACGTACACATTTTGCCCATCACAGTTCCTCGACTTTTTGTGGCGAAAAGAAAACGCACTGGGTGAAAGCAGAGGTGTCTGAAAAAAACCTTTTATTTTCTCTGAAGAAAAAATTGTAACAAAAGTGTTCTGTAAGGGTTCTTTTGTATGACAACTAGTTGCGTGACGGGGCACAAAGAGTGATGCGTGATTGACTAGTTAAAAACGAGAACAACAACAATCGGCAGGATCATTTACCATTTTGGTTTCTGAGATTGGTAAATATTGTTTGATTTCATTTGTGAGACTGGGACCAGAGACATCCAAAACAGTAACGATAGTCGTGAAAATATTTTCATGTCCATTCTCCGTTGTTCGATCAGGTGCTGGGGGCATAGTGACCTTTCAGCTTCATGCACCAAACCCAACAATACAACAACTCTTATGTCATCTCTCCTGGCTTCAAACAGGAGCCCATCACTAATTACTAGTATAAGTAATGAACTCCTGCTTCACATGAGTCTTCTTGAAACTGGACGTATTTCCTGGTCTCTCCAACGGTTTGTTAAATAGATCTACCGCATAGAAGCTAATATTAATTTAGAATATTGTCCTGTTAAAAGAAGGGCAAGATAAATCTGACCAATTTCACCTATATCTAACTTTCCTAATTTTTTATGTTAAAGGATGGTTGTACTTTTGAGGACTTTTCTTCGTCCTCTGCTTTTTTTTTCCTTTGGGCGGGAGCGGGGGGGTACATCAGAGATGAGGCACATTCTTTCGGATTGTTGTTGTTGTTTGTTTTGTTTTTTTATTTTCGTAAAAGAATGTGATAGTGCCTCAACTTAGTACTTTTGTGAGAGACACATTGGACTGTTTTGGGAAAAAAAAAATGAAGAAACTGGCTTCGATTTTGATATGTATTTGACATATCACCCTCTATAAAATGACAGAGATATCACGAGTATCCTGTTTGGTCAAAGGCCTAACGTTTATTGCACCATTAAACCCATAGGAAATTTTGGACTTGATTTTCCTTCGGTATTTACTTTCTTTTTTCAATGTTTAACCAAAGATCATTGACTTAATCTTCGCTATGTATTTACATTTCTTTTAAATTCATACGTCTCTAGACGCTTAAAATATTTCGGTATACATGTATATAGCTGTTGGCATAACATGCGGATGAAATCACCTCCCAACTATTGATTGGAAACATTGAGGAAAATGTTTGCCTGAGACTTTTGAAATCCAGTTGATCTTCAAGCACTGCTATTTTTTCTTTTCTTTGTAGTACACATTAACACTTCATATTACAATTAAACTATAGCAACTTGCAGATTTCGAATTCAGATTGATAGGAATTGTCGTTATTTTTACTTAAATACCGCGTTTGATATCCAGCGCCTTTTCAACGATGAGTATTTTTTTTGGAATTTGCCCATGGTTTCTTTTTCTCAGTGAGAGTAGCGGAAGCTACAAGTGAAAGAAATCATCATAATTTCACTCACGTTTTGATTAATGTACTCTGTTATAGCTTTGATAAAACTAATGCTGAGGTTCTATTCTAATAAATATATGTAAAATCTTGGTTTCATAGCGCGAAAAGTCTTTTTGAGAGAGAGAGTGCTCCTGAGTGAAGTGATTCTTCATCTTTTGAGGACGTCGACAAAGGGAGAGTGAAAGAGTGTGTTTGTAAATCTGAGAAGTGCTTTTAGGGAGAAAGTCTCGTCGTCATTTTCCACTTACCGAAGATTGAAAAACACAGCTTCGCTCAATAGTAACACAAGACCGATTTAGGAACCTGAGAGACCCTAACAGTGTTAATAAAGAGAGGCCACAGAGACTTCTTATTCATAAAAATAACGAATTTTCCGATCCTGAAATTAACAAAAAGAGAAATTACTTTATGCATTTAATAGCAGCTACTGCTTCAGGTCTATTTAATCGTGAGCTATTCAGTGTTTGCAATTTCTGTTCGGCTTCACTGTGCACCGTTAATACTCCATGGAGTCAGTTGCAGTTCTGATTAAACTTCTGGTTTATTTAAAAGATCATATCTGCCCATAAGTGTTACTTACTAGGGACGAAGTCATCGAAATTGGTTCACCAGCGTCCATACAGGAGTATGACCAAGAAACAGACATCTTGTTTGTCATTATTACATACCTGCCCGTCGTTTTAGAGGAATTAAAATCAACACTAAGTAGAAAAGGGTACCCCCTCTCCCCGCCACTAGTTCGCTTTACGTCTGCAGTTTTGGCTACATCATCTATGGTAACATAACCTGTGATGAAATACCTTATGTCGGTGGTGAAAATGGGCAGACTTCGTAAACAAAAACAGTTAAGTACTCTCATCTCATCTCTCAGCTGTTTCGCCTTTGATGATGACTTTGAACTAAGAGTTACAATCAAATTACTTTTATTTTGTTGCGCTTTTCCTGTCACTTAACGGTTAAATATCAAATTAGTCAGGTGTTATCTGCCGATTACTGTCCAACTTATTAATATCAAGTGCTCCGTTTAATTCAATGAGATCGTGCGGCTGTATGAATCTAACATGTTGTCTCTTTCCCTTTAGGCGAGCACTCTCTCTTAAGCCTTAAGTAGGATTCTACAAAGCTGCATATATAAACCTTCAGTTTCATACATCCCCCTCAGCCAGTGGTTTCCTTACGTTCTTCAGCTGTTTTTTCTAGTAAACGCTTTTCTACTTTCGCGACAAACTGAATAACATCTGCAGCAAATAACTCAGGTTCTTCAAAGGCAGCAAAGTGTCCACCGCGAGGCATTTCTGTGAACTGAACAATGTCTGTAAATTTGTTGTGAATCCAAGGTTCTGGAGTCCGAAAAAGTTCATGGGGAAAATCAGCCATTGCAGAAGGAACTGTAACGGGGATACTGCCAAGACAACAAAACTAAAAATTAAAAAAGCTATATATTCAAATAATATGACTCCTTAACATTAAAACACATAAATTACAATTAGCTGTCAAATAAATGCACAGAATTTTAGGCCAAAGATGTAAAACTAATACTACCAAGTTACTTGGAAATAAAAACTCAAGGACAATTGCCTATTCTGTGTTGAATTTCAGAAAGCCTTGGGGAAGGCCTCCATTCATCAACAATTGCACTAAATTCATTTGAGGTTATCACTTGAATTCTTCATTCGTTTATGAAATTCATCACTTCCATAAGTTTTTAACAAAAACTAAAGAAGACAGACATTTTTCCATGAATCAAATTAAATTAAAGTAGCATACTTCCTTAAATAAATACCCACACACTTGTTTGAGATTTTCACTAACAGGAGGGGAGCTCATTGGAAAGAAGGCGCATAATCAAGGTGGGTGCTTATTCAGCTACCACAGCAAAAGGAAAAAAATTAAAAGAACAGAGAACACACATAAAAAACTCTGCAAGCACATAGAGAATGAAATAACTGAAACAAAAAAACTATTCTCCTGAACTAAATCTGCTGTTATGAAGCTAAAAGAAGTTGTAAATAAAGTGGCAATAGAAATAGGTTTTCCTTGTATCCCTACTATTTTAAGAGAGTGATGAAAAAGAAGGGGAGTGCTTGTTTGACATTATGGTCTAGAGGGCAGGGGGCTATTTGGGAGAGGGCACTTATTAGGACACAAGTGCTTCCTCAAGGAAATAAAGTATAAAGGTCAGGATATTTCTCACTTTGGGAACTATTGTAAGCTTGCCTCAGTCCAGACTTATTTCACAGGGATAATTTTGAACAATCTTAAGTCTATGAGTATCTCTTTTACCGTGATGCAGAGCGCAATTCATCATCACTATGCATCGTTTCATAATACAGCCTCATTGATGAAGCAATAGAGTGAGTGGCCCAATATATCATCACATTTGTCAGCATTTCATCCTTTGTAAAGCACGATTCCAAACAGATTGCTGTGTCATTGGTTGCACAGCCACTCCACATTGCAAACTTTTCCACAAGGTAAGCTGCCAGGCCAGCAGGTGAATCATTATTTGCCAACGCAACAGTGTTAGGTCGAGTTGCTGAAACAAGATATTCAAAAAAACTTAACAACAAATATTTTCAATTAATCAGGTTTTATAAAACTAATAATATGAGTTTATAACAAGTCCCAAAATGGTCCCTAATGTTGCTTAGTTTTCTGTGATCCAATCTAAAAGAAAAATAAGGAAAATTTCTGCAAGACATAATCCACAAAAATGGAAATAAATTTCAATTTCAAATGAAAAATTATGGAAAGGTAATAGAAAATGCATGTACCTTGTAGGTGAAAATATCCTCCCTCACGCAGAATTTTAATCACCAACTTTGACAATGGGAAAATCTTTTGCTGCTCCTTTTCTGGAAAGAAGACTTTTGCCTGAATATAGGACAAGGGGTTTTTATCAAACACTGGGAACATGTTTAAATGAAGTCCTCGAATGTGACTAGAAAATATAAAGATAGAACAAACAATCTCATAAGTAGGCATATTAAGATCAAGGTTCTATGTAAGATACCTGCTCCTTAAAAAACTTGTTAAACCTTGCCACTCTCTGTGTTGGCTGGGTAATCACTAGGTTCATATCTGACACACCTGCACAATGTTAGAACTGGTAATGTGGAAAGTGGTTTGTGTGATTAGAATAAAAAGGAAGGTAAACTTTAAGCTTAATAACAATGCAATGGAAAAAGAAATTTCTTCTTGGTTTTCTTTACTAACTATAAAATAAACTAACTTTTTCAGTCCAACACTAATATGGAGGAGACAGCAGTTTTTGTGCAATATGAAAATTAATGGTAGGGTTATATGAAATGCTGGGGGGTAACCTTGCAATAGCATGGACTAGCATTCCATCCAGGGGAAGGAGGAGGAGTAGTAATACTCCTAGTTGCTTTACGATGCTATGGGGCAAACAGTATGAGCTCCAACTGAGTGGGCCAATAGACTCAAGTTCAGAACTTTACCGTTACCTTTTAAGATAAATAAACACCTCTATGGTTTACAGGTATATTGACTGATAATACCCTTAGTTGAGAAGAAAACAAATTTTTTGGACAATCTCTCAACTTCATTTATCAGCCACCTGAAGGGGTTTAAATATTTAAAAAGATACATGAAAAAATTACTTAGTTCTGATTGGTTAAGATAAATGCAGTCTTCAGGTAATTCAATATTGAAGAGGGTTAATTCAGTGCAAAGAAGTAACAAACCAGACTGAACAATTCCTGGAACTGTTTAGCCGGACTTTGAACTTTTTCAGCACCTTCAAGATGTGAAAATATCATTGTATATTATTGTTTTAATCATACACGGTTGTTTTGACCAAACACACAATGTCACTTACGGGGTTTGAATAAATTATTTTGGCACTTGATGCACATGCTTTCCTTCTGCATAATTATGATAAGCTATCTCATTTTTTTTCATGTATATCATTAATATGTAATCACACGATTTTTCTTGTGCAATTTGGAATAAATAAGCACTTGTAAACTTTTTCAAAGACCACAAATTGCACGAGCCCTATGGACTCGTGCAATTTTGTTAGTCTTTGAAAAAATTTACATGTGCTTATTTATTCCATATTTCACACGAGATCATGTGATTACGTATACTAATGACATACATAAAAAAAATTGCGCTGTCTGATCGGCTGAAAATTAGTGCATTTTTTACGTAACACGAGTGCAAATTTCAAACAGGGTATGCACCTCATCAAAGTTTCGTTTGTTTTGACTATCTGTGACATGTTTTTCATGTTAAGTAACAACACGATCTCTCATGTAATTTTGAGTGAAGAGGCACTTGAAAATTTTTCGAATTCGCTAATCCTGTCGTTTCTTACCTAGGATCCATGAGTGCCATTGCACATGTTATCGCACTTCCCCAATCTCCACCCTGAATGTAATAGGACTCATAACCAAGTCGTGCCATCAGCTTGCTAAATATCCGTCCTGCGGCAAACACCTCAAAGCCTGGCTTATGAGGGGCTTCTGAAAAACCATAACCTGGAATCGATGGACAAATGATAGAAAATGCATAATCTTCTGTTGAAGATGCTACAATCTTTGGAATGACCTTGTAGAATTCATAAAACGACCCTGGCCAACCATGAACCAGCATAATTGGAACGATTCTCTGGCCCTCTCTCAATTCTGGTTGAAAATGCAGAAAGTGGATTTTTATTCCATTTATCTTTGTCTTGTAATGTTTGTATGTGTTGAGAATTTTCTCTTGCTTACGCCAATCGTACTTCGTCTTCCAATATTCGGTCAATTCTCTCATGTAGTCAGGATTAATACCGTATTCCCAATCGATACCGTCCAAGTTTTCAAAGAAACGAGTCTTGGATAATCTTTCGTTAAGATCATTAAGAACTACGTCTGTCAAGCTGATAGGGAATTCATACACGCTGGAATCCGGCTTGTTATTGTTCTTGTCTCCTTTGCCCCACCATTCTTCACGATCGAGGGGCGGGGGCTTACAATCGTTAGCAAAATACCTACTCAAAATAATGGGAATTACCACCACTGAAATACTGACAATTGCTACGAAAACCGCACAATATG